TCAATCTTTGTATTTAGATAAAGCCTGAAATTAAAGCTACAATTTAACCTAACAGGCTCTCTCTGGGTTTTAAAGAAAGCTTAATACAGTGACTGTCAATCTTCCAGTTATTTCTTCTCTAATCACTAAACTATTAAGAAGTTGGCTTCATGGTCCATTCTTCCCCAGCTACAACCAAACAGCTGCCTGCCCTCTTGACTCTTTTGTTAAATGCTTCTTGGTAATAAGGGTACTGCCTTGGATCTTGCAAAATCCATCCTAACATACAGCCTCTGACTTACAAAATATAATGTTTAAATCCACCAACATAAAAGAGAAGTAATAAAACTGAGAATATATTAATTCAACATTCAGTTTCAACTAAGAGTCAAGTCCTGACAACTTGGAAAATATGGGGGAAGAGGAAGAAATGATGTGTCCCTATTTTCATTCCAGTTTTCCTAAAGCTTCCTTCCCAAAGTATAAAAGGCGACCACCACCCACCAACATAGATCAAAACATTAAATGTTCCTTTAACTCTACATATCTAATCTTTTAAACTTTCTGATGTAAGCAATCAGAAAAAAACTTATATTTGATGCTAATTTCTAACTATGGATATCTAAAAATAGGTTAAGAAAATAGTACCTCCAAGTTTTGACTTCAACTAATTATTATTATTATTATTATTATTATTATTATTGTGTTGGAGTTTCACTCTGTCATCCAGACTGGAGTGCAGTGGCACATTCCTGGCTACTGCAGCCTCGATCTGCTGTGCTCTGGCGATCCTTCTGCCTCAGCCTTCTAAGTAGCCAGAACACAGGCGTGCGCTACCATGCCCAGCTAATTTTTTATTTATGGTAGAGATGAGGTCTCGCCAAGATGCCCAGACTGGTCTACAACCTGCGAGTTCAGGCAATTCACTTGGCTCAGCCTCCCAAAGTGCTGGGATTACAGGCTGAGCCACCAAGCCTGACCAAATTGATTATTTTTTTTTTAATTCCCTTGTGTTATGTACAAAATTTAAATAAGATTGGCTGGATACAACACCTCTATTCTACCATGGTATTGGAAAATTAACCATATTTGTTGCCATTGTCTCATTATAGAGATCGGAGACTACTGGCAGAGTTGTGGGTTGGTAATAGACCATGACTACTCCCAGAGATGTGAGGAAGTCTTGTTTTTCAAAGGTGAATGATGTAGTTTGAATGTTTGCCTCCTCTAAATCTCATGTGGAAATGTGGTCCCCAATGTTGAAAGTGGGGACTAGTGACAAGTGTTTGGGACATAAGGGCAGATTCCTCATAAATGACTTGGTGCCCTCCCCATGGTAATGAGTGTGTTATCTATCAGTTCACATAAGAGTTGGTTGTTTAAAAGAGCCTGGCACCTCTTTTTATCTCTTGCTTCCACTCTTGCCATGTGGCATGATGGACCCCCTTGCCTTCTACCATGATAATAATCTTCCTAAGGCCTCACTGAAAGTCTAGTAGATGCTGGTGCCATGCAAAACTATTAACCAAATTAATCTCTTGATAAATTATCCAGGTTTTCCTTTCTATCACTGCAAAACAGACTGATAGTAGGGTGCAGTGGCTCATGCCTGTAATCCCAGCACTTTGGGAGGCCAAGGTGGAAAGATTGCTCAGGAGTTTGAGACCAGCCTGGGCAATACAGTGAGACCTCATCTCTATAAATGAACAAAAACAAGAAAACAAACAAACAACAACAACAACGACAACAGAACAGACTAATACAGAAAATTGGTACCAGGAGTGGGGTGTTTTATAAAGATACCTTGAAACTGGGTAAAAAGCAGAGGTTGGAAGACTTTGGAGGAGTTAGAAGAAGATAAGAAGACAAGTCTGGAACTTCTTAGAGACCAGTTAAGTAGTTGAGACCAAAATGCTGATAGAACTATGACAGTGAAGGCCGGGCTGATGAGGTCTCAGATGGAAATAGGAATGTATTGGGCACTGGAGCAAGTGCCACCCCTGTTATGCTTTACCAAATAACTTGACTGAATCATGTCCATGTCCTAGGGTTTTCTGGAAGACTGAACTTGAGAGTGATGCTTATGGTATCTGATGGAAGAAATGTCTAAGCAGTAAAGTGTTAAGAAGTAGCCCATCTGCCTCTAACAGTCCAGGATCAGATATGGGAGCAAAAGAATGACAAAGTTGGAACTTATAATTAAACGAGAAGCAGAGTCTGCTTTGGAAATTTCCCAACCTGGCTATGTAGCAGAAAAGGAAGAAGTGCTTTCAGGAGAAGAATTGAAATAGGCTGCAGAGCCACTACTTGCTAAAGAAATCCACATGGCTGAAAGGGAAGCAAGTGCTAATATTAAGAACAACAGGAAAAACTCCTTGAAGGCATTTTGGAGATCTTCAGGCTGTCCCACCCCCCAACCCCATCACAGCCCAGAGGCCTAGGAGGGTGGAATGATTTTGGGAGCCAGGACTGGTCCGCTCCCATAAGCCATGTTGGAAGCTGCATCCTAGTATCTCTGGCTCCAGCCTCGCGCTAAGGGGCCTCAAGTATAGCCCAGGCCACTGCCCTGGAGGGCGCAAGCTATAAGTCTTGGTGGCTTCCACGTGGTGTTACAGTACCAAGTACACAGGATGCAAGAACCACGGGGGCTTGGGAGTTTCTGCCTGGATTTCAGAGGGTATTTGGGAAGGCCTGGGTTACCAGGCAGAAGCCTGTCACCTCAGAGAGCCCCTCAGAGAGCCCCTACTACGGTAGGGCCAAGAGGAAATATGGAGTAGAGCCCCCATAAAGACTTCTTAGGAGGCATCGCCTTGTGGAGCTGTGGGAATGGGCCACAGCCCTCCAGAGCCTGGAATGGCAATGAGGTATGCAAAAAGCCCACTCTAATTAGGCAGTAACTTTCATCACTTAGAAGGTCCTTGAGACCTTCAAAGCCTGCAATGGTCATCAAGACTCATGACCAGATACTTGTAGCCCTCCACTCTTAGCTCGTGGTTATTTAATCATTGTTGTAAAAGTATTAAAGATCTGCAGTTTCTTGATAAAGACAAGCACAAGCCTCTCCCTTGAGTGTGTCATTTTTTCCTTCTTGTAAATTATTTCCTAAGCTATACTTTGGCTTGGCTCTGGAATTCTTTTGGGGCAAAATCAAGAACCTAAGGAGTAACACATGGCACCCCACCCGGCATCTGTGAGCTACCACAACGTGCACCCTCAGCCTGAAAAATCGGCAGGCACCGGCTCACAGGCATCTGACTCCAACCCATGAGGACAGTCATGTGGGATGTGCCCAGAAAAGCCACAGGGGCGGAGCTGCCCAGGGTCTTGGGAGCCCACTCCTCACACCAGCGTGCCCAGGACGTGGGACATGGACTTGAGAATTATGTTGGAGTGTTAATGGTTAGCGTCTGCCTGTCTGGGTTTCACAGTTGCGTGGGGTCTGTTGCCACTTTTTTTGTGGCTAATTCCTCCTTTTGGAATGAGACTGTTTCCCCAAGGCTTGCACCACTGTTGCATCTTGGAAGCAAATGACATGCTTTGATTCTACAGGCTCACACGTGGAAGGAAATTGCCTTGCGTCTCAGACGAAACTTTGGACTTTTGGGTTGATGCCGGAACAAGTTAAGGCTTGGGGGGACTTCTCAAAAGGCATGATTACATTTTGCCATGCGAGAAGAACAAGCGATGTGGGGGAATGGGGGGAATGATATAGTTTGGATGGCTGTCCCCTCCCAATCTCAGTGTTGGAGGTGGAGCCTAGTGGGAGGTGTCTGGGTCATGGGGGACAGATCCCTTATGAATGGCTTGATACTGCTCTCACAGTCATGAGTGAGATCTCACTTTATTCGTTCATGTGAAAGCTGGGTGTTCAAAAGAGCCTGACGCCTCCTTCTCTCTCATGCTTCCACTGTTGCCACGTGACCGGTTTGCTCCCTCTCCACCTTCCACCGTGACAAAAATCTTCCTGAGGCCTTGTCAGGAGCCCAGCAGATGTCGATGCCATGCACCACCATGAGCCAGATAAACCTCTTCTTAAAATAAATTACCAAGCTTCAGATATTCCCTCGTAGCAACACAAAAGACTAGGATGATTGAATTTGCTCCCAAGATCAAGTAGAATGGTCTGGACTGTGGTTTCTTTCTTATTAACAAATTGCCCTTGAACACGAGGCAGTGTTTGCTGGTCTGCATGTGCACATTTGCATCGGAGGAAGTCTTTCCTATGACTGAGAAAAATCCCCAAATACATACTGATGGTTTTCCAGGCATAAATTCTGACTTAATCCTAGCTTCAAACCACGAAGATCATAATTCTATAGTAGATGATGTTGGGTAAATTATCTATTAGAGCCATGTTTTGTGAACTGTTGAATGTATGGAAGATGTATTTTCAAAACATATCGCACTTCAATTTTCTTAGTCCTTATGCAATGCTGTAGAAAGGCCCTGTTTATGATCCCTGGGTTCTCTCAGGGAAAAAAGGAAAGAAAAGTAATTTTCCTCATAATGAAAAGGAAGAATTGCTCCTCCAGAAGAGTAAGTGGGTTTTGAAAAGCATTTTCTGTATTATTACCAAGGAGGTGTTAACACAGAGCTCACTGGGCTATTTCCCTCTCGCGCAGCAATTGAAAATAAGTCACGTAAAAGAAGAAATGAGTTTCCTCTTCAGTTGAAGGAATGCAATCTACACGTTGGAATTGATAGTAAAGTCTGGGGAGCTTTTGGACCGTAGAAGTGAGATCACATCCCAACCTGAAATGGTTAGAGAAAAACAAACTGCTAAAGCCAGAAGGAAAAACCTCATCGCATTTCTCCAAGCCACCCAAGTTTTGTGATCTTAGAGCACTTTATTCACAAAGCATTCAGTCAGTTCTAACTGGAGAGCTCCTCACCGTGGTCACCAGCAACGGACCACCCACACTCAGCCAGGATGCTCACGATTTCTTTTCTCTTAGATTTTGATTCAAATAAAAATCTTCTCCTCTTACCCTTCTGTAGTTTTGCATGCAACATTGTCTTACCTTGCCCAGCCTGTGACCAGTATTGCGTTCTGGAGAACCAGGATTTGAGAAATATCCACAGCTCCATCTTGACCAACATAGAGCGTGTGGTGACAGTATCCATTGAAGTCCCATATCTTTAAAAGAAAAATTAAAACCATTCTTGAGACAGGAAGAGAAAATGTCTTCCTGTAATAAGATTATCTCAAACTTCTTTGTGTACATTCTGAACCAGGGTTAATTCACTTGGGATACAGAATAATTAAAGAAAATCCACTAATCATTTAAACTTAGTCATTATACTTATTACTCTTATGATATTGTGAAATATGTATTTAGCCTTCATCCCAGCTACCTGGCACACTGCTCCTAAAATCCTTGGAAACTCCATGAAGAGAGTCTGAATAGTATGCTAATGACATCACTGGTGGTTGGGTCCCCTAGACAGCTTCAGGGTGGGGCTGGTCACAGGAAAGACCGAGGCATGATTAGAGGGTGGGACTTTCACCCTCAACCTGACCTCCAGGGAACAGAGAGGGGCTGAAAGCTGAGTTGACTTCCAGCGGCCAGTGAAGGACTCAGTCATTCCTAAGTAACGAAGCCTTCGTGAAAACCAAAAGGGAACACATCTACGCTGTTGGTGGGAGTGCAAACTAGTACAGCCTCTGTGGAAAACTGTGTGGCGGTTCCTAGAAGTTCTAAAAATCGACCTTCCATATGACCCCGCAATCCCCCTAATGGGAATATTCCTGGAAGAACTCAAATCACTCTATAAAAAAGATACCTGCACACGTTTGTTTACCGCAGCATTGTTCACAACAGCAAGAACATGGAACCAACCATGCTGCCCATCAAAAGGGGACTGGATAAAAAAAAGTGGTACAGGTACATGATGTAATATTACACAGCCATAAAGAAGGACAAAATCATGAACTTCGCAGCAACCTGGATGGACTTAGAGTCTATAATACTAAGCGATCTTTCACAGAAACAAAGAACTGAGCATCACATGTTCTCATTCACAAGTGAACCTTGAACAACTACCATAATACTATAAGAAAAGGATTGACTGTAGCAGGAAACTGTGGAGAGGAGGGGGAATGGGGAGGTGGGGTTGACAGTAGTGCAAATCTGCCTGGGGAAGGGGGGGCCACACCTCATCCATAAGGGTACCTGCACGGTGAGTATTTGCGTACCTAACCCTGAAATGTACCCCACATCTTTAAAACAAAAAAAAAAATTTTTTTTTTTGAGTTGGAGTCTCACTCTGTTGCCCAGACTGGAGTACAGTGGCCGCTCCTGGCCACTGCAGCCTCGGCCTGCTGGGCTCTGGCAATCCTTCCGCCTCAGCCTTCCGAGTAGCCAGAATTACAGGCATGCGCTACCACACCCAGCTGATTTTTTGATTTATTGTAGAGATGAGGTCTTGCTGCCCAGGCGGGTCTCGAACCCGCGGGCTCAGGCAATCCACTCACCTCAGCCTCCCAAAGGCGGGGGATTACAGGCTGAGCCACCGAGCCCGGCTCAAAATAAAAAACTTTTAAAGTAAACAAAAAAGAAAACCCAAAAGGATAGGGTTTGGAGTCTCTGAATAGCTAAACACATGGAGATGGCTGGAAGGTACCGAGCCTCGCATGGAAGGAAGAGCCATGTCTCTCCCCACATGCCTGGCCCGGCTCATCTCTTCCATCTGCTGCTTGCTGTGTTTTCCGTCTCCTTCACAAGAAATGAGTCCATGCAAGTGAAGTGCTTCCTGGAGTTCTGAGAGCCACTCTAGCAAATTAATCAAGCCCAAGGAAGGGGTCATGGAAACCCTGACTTATAGCCAGTCAACTAGAAGCACAAGTTACAACCTGTGCTTGTGACCGGCATCTGAAGGGGAGGGGCAGCCTTGTGAGAACACGGACACTGACACTGTCTCCAGGTAGATGGTGTCAGAATTCAAATTCGATCAGAGGACACCCGGAGGGTGTCGTCTGGGGAGTCCACTGCAGAATTGGCATGTGGGAAATATGCCCACACACATTTTGATGACCGGCAACGTGTGCGGTATTGAGACCGAGGATAAGAGAAACTGACTCTGTTTTTCTCCTATACAGTCATGCGTTGCTTAACAGCAGTAATGCATCCTGAGAAATGCGCCCTTGGGTGATTGCGTCGTCGTGCGAACCTCACAGAGTATACTCACACACATCTAGATGGTCTAGTTACTACAAACCTGGGGCGTGTGGTCTAGCGTATGGCCCCTAAGTTTCTCACCTGCACACATGTGACTGCATTGTATACTGTAGACAACTGTACCACGACAAATACTTGTGTGTCTAAACCGACACAAGGCAGTATAATCTTTTTTTTTTTTGAGCCGGAGTCTCACTCCATCGCCCAGGCTGGAGCTCAGTGGCATGCTCACAGCCACCCCAGTGTCGATCCGCTGGGCTCTGGCGATCCTTCCACCTCAGTCTTCCAAGTAGCTGGAACCACAGGCACACACTACCACACCTGGCTAATTTTTTTTTTATTGTCTTGTAGAGACGAGGTCTCACCAAGTTGCCTGGGCTGGTCTCGAACCCACAGGCTGAAGAAATTCACTTGCCTCGGCCTCCCAAAGTGCTAGGATGACAGGCTGAGTCACCGAGCACGGCCAGTATTATAATCTTAAGGGGCAACCACTGAAACACAGTCTGTTGTTGGCTGAAATGTTGCTTGAGAGTGCATGGTCATACATATCTTGGACTCGACTTGTAACTCTATCAGTCTGTTCTAATAATAGCTGGTTCAGAGGCTTTCCATGAAAAGAGATATTGAAGGGAGAGGTAATATAAAGTCACAAAGAGCCACATTTTGGAATCTGTTGAAATCCCGTTTTTTTTCACTAACTGTGTCTCTCTATATTTCTGTTTTCTTACTCGTGACACAGAGCCTCACTGTTCAAGGACACTTAGAGGACTAAACATCTGATACGGAGCCTGAAACAGTCATCGTGTACTAGGCTTCCCATCTTCTGCCCATGAGATCGCCTGTTGATAGCAGGTGCCAGACCCGGTTCTGAAGAGGGCATGATCTCAGACAGTGGAGGGAAGGCCTCAGAGAGGGCATTGTCAGCTCAGGAGCGGCTAAAACCAAGCCCTGCTGTGAAACATCCCAAGTGGGCGCACTCCATCAAAATCAAAACGCATATGTCCTTTGGCTTAAAAATTCAACTTCCAGAAAAATCATCCCACAGACACACTCATATGTGTGAGATGACATATTTTCGAGCATATTCCTGCAGCGTTGTTTACAAGAGCTAAAGATTGGGATCAGCCTAACTGCTCACTCATGAAGGATTCAACGATCAGATATGGAACTTCTACCAGTAGCATCTGAAGTAGCCATCAAAAAGAATGAGTCACTGTGTGTTTCTAGACTCTGCCAAAACTCAACCAGACATGGAACCTTGAGCAAGTTGCCTCAGCTCTTTGGGCTTCAGTTCCTCACCTGTAAAATCAGGATGACAATAGTAACAACCTTGTAGGGGGGGCGTGCACCTGCGCGTGCGCGTGCTTAGAATGCTGCCTGGTTTCTTGTATGCATGCAATAAAAATTACCTGAGATCATTACTATTGTATCCATTCATATGGCTCAATGTCCAAGACAGAAAAATGCAAAATGCTGACCAGCATGAACAGTGAGTTGCTATCAAGAAAAAAATGGTGGCCGGGCAGAGTGGTTCAAGTCTGTCATCTCAGCACTTTGGGAGGCTGAGGCAGGAGGATTGCTTGAGCCCCGGAGTTCAAGACCAGCCTGGGCAACATAGTGAGACCCAGTTTCTACAATAAATTGAAAAAAGAATTAGCTGGGCATGGTGGTGTGCCTATAGCTCTAGCTACTTGGGAGGCTGAGGCCAAAGGCTTGCCTGAGCCCAGGAGGTCAAGGCTGCAGTGAGCCACGATCATGCCACTGCACTTCAGCCAAAAAAGAGACAAATGGTGCCCTTGGGCAAGAAGGATGCACAGGCACCCAGTAACGGGAAGAGCTGGGAACAGGCATGAGAAAGAGACTTTCTTTTCACCATACGCCTATTTTATATTTCCAAGTTCTTATTGTATGCATACATGGATTATTCAAATCATCAGTTTTAAAACAGATTCTCCTGAGTCATAACAAATCAGGCAATAATGTTAAGCATTTGATTATATAGGTATCTTAGTTATAAATGAGATGGGAAAATGTCATTCATTCTTGTTTCTTGGATGGACCAGCTCAACCCTGGTTCGTGTGTCCTACCCAGAAGTTGCCAGATTTCAGAATTCGGTTGTGCTATCGTGATAAAGATGGATGCACCTTCCAAAGCTGTGACTATACTACTAACCTCACATTAACCTAAGTCGAAGCTTGAGTTGAGACCTGGGGAGTGCACACACTCTTCCCTGTCACCGTGTTTTCCTCTGCCCCTGGCTCTTATCAAGTCCACCGACAATAATTCCCTCAATAGGTACTGCAAGGACCTGGCTGTCCCCAGGTCCTACCATGTTCTGTAGCTGGGGCCATGCTAGCAAGTCCTCACTTCCACTTGCCCTCAACTCCACATTCAGCTACTTTCCGCGACAGAGGCCAACAGAATCTCAGCCACTCATAGCTATCCGTTCAGTTCTACCTCGTACTCCAAGACGGGTCTGTGATAGCCAGCTTGTCCTTTTTGCCTAAACCACTGCCCAGTAGGTTAGTTCTAGCAACTCATCTTTTATCCTGCCTCCACTCCTGGGGCTGGGCTTGTCCCTTTCCAGCTCTCCTGCAAACTTGGCTCCTGACCTATACCTCACTCCGTTAACCTTCCAAGAGGCCAGGCCTTGCTGACTTCCAGGGGGCCTCCCTCTTCCCACCACGGCACCTCCTCCCACAAAGGGCCACCAGCCTGGAATCCGCTGGAGACTCGCCCCAACTCCGAGGAGATCCTATCTGCCTATCCTGGTAGCTGAATGCATCACACGCCACACCTTGGAAGGCAGTTTCGCACCTCTTCTGCCCCAAATTTCATGGGGTGAGAGACATCCAACGTGTACTCAGGAAATGGCCTCCTGGGGCCTCAAAGGGACACAGACTCTCTCCCACCAAAGACTCATTACTCTTGGGGCTGAGGGGAGAAGGGAGGGTTCACTGGTGGGTGTCACTTCGGACTACGAGTGTCTAGCTTTGTATCCAAAGGTAATCATTTTGCAAAGTAAAATAGCGCAATCCTCCCAGAAAACATGAATGATCGTTACAGAAGGAGAAAATTAAAAGCATAAAAGAGTGTTGGTATAGGATGGATAATAACTAAGATTACATTTGTTCTTTCTACTATCTTTCTTCACTATCTGACTACATTCACCTGACAAAAATGCAAATTCCAAAATAGGATTACTTTTTTTATTCTGAAGAAAATAATATTTATTTACCATTTGTTGTCATAACTCAGTGATGTGTAACATCAGAGTGAGTCAAGATTCACTAAAAAATAGGATTACTCTAAAATATTGATTTTTCTGAAAAATTTGCATCTATGCCATTTTTAAGTTTACCTAAGTTGCCCTGATTTCTCATTGAATAAACATAGAAAAGGAAGACTAGAGACATTAACTGAAGCCCATGAAAATTACCCACACATTTTTGAGTTGGAGTCTCACTCTGTTGCCCAGGCCCACCTACTATGCTAATTTTTTAATTTATTGTAGAGATGAAGTCTCGCCAAGTTGCCCAGGCTGGTCTCAAATCCCTGGGCTCAGGCAATCCTCTCGCCTCAGCCTCCCAAAGTGTTGGGATTACAAGCTTGAGCCACTGCGCCCGGCTTATTCAGGCATCTTATTCCCCAAAGTCATCCCTACACAGTACATTGAAAAGAGGGCTTTCTGAAATGAGTAAGCCAAGTTGTATTTTTTTTTTTTTCAGAGACAGGATCTCACTCTGTTGCCCAGGCTGGAGTACAGTGATGCGATCACAGTTCATTGTAAACTCAACTTTCTTGGGCTCAAGCAAACTTGTCAACTCAGCCTCCTTAGTAGCTGGGACTACAGCTACGCACCACCATACCTGGCTAATTTTTGAGATTTTCTTTTCTTTCTTTCTTTTTTGTTTTTTATTTGGCAGGGTCTCTCTATGTTGCCCAGGCTGGTCTCAAACTCCTGGCCTCAAGGGATCATCCCACCTTGGCCTCCCAAAATGCTGGGATTACAGACATGAGCCACCGCGTCTGACTTGTATTTTTATTCTAAATAATGTAGGTAGGAAAATCATGTCTTCATTTTCTCACAGAGGTTTTTTTTCCTAGCAGCTCTGTGATGCGATGATTTGAGTTACTTGGCTCTGGTCATCTCCCTGCTCGCAAGGCCAAAAAGGCAAAGCCATGCGTGTCCACTGCATGTCGCCTCACACGACACTTCAGTCCCTCATGTCTGGGTAGAAAAGCATCCCTGTGTTCGCACCTTCACGGTCCCATCTGTGCTGCCCGTCAAAAGCCGCGTCTCATCCGCATCCAGGGCCAGGGGGCTGATTTCGGCGTTGCCGTGGCAACTGGTAAACTGCTTGATTTTCTGCCCTGTGTCGATCATTCAGAAGGTGACAGTGGACACCACATCTGAGCTGATTACCTAGGAGAAAATAACATTGTAGAGAAATTAAGTATCGCCCCAGAATCCACCATTTTCATTTCAGTGAGGATGTCTCGCCTGCAGGCTTCCAGAACGGAGACACCCCAGCAGACTCTGGAATGCTCTTTCTCTCTGCCCACTAAGCCTATAACATTTCCAGTCCTAGACCAGGCCTGAGGTCATGAAGTCACTATTCTCTTTGTAGGAGAAGATAGGAAGCTGCTTTCCTTGCCCACCACTCAGTGGGGGCGTCTACAGGCCATCTTGAAATCTAATTCTCCTGAAAGTAAACCTAGGAAGCTTTTCCATTTAGATAAGAATGCTGATTCCACCAGTCGCGGTGGCACTCTGACGCCATTCACTAGATAGAAAGAAACATTTTATTATAGATTAGCTTTCGTTTAGCTCTCAGAAAAGAAGCACTAATGGCCATCATGGGAAAAGTTAATTTCCACAAATTACTAGAGCGATTGCTTTTAAGACCGTCAGTCCCTTGCCTTCCTTTTCCCCAAGCCGCTGTGTGCATTTTTACAGCTAAACGCAATTATCGGTGGGTCACTAAAAATAACCGCCTGGGTTAAATATGAATTTACATATATACCCCTAGACGAAGGCAGCAGAACAAATGCTATGGGGGCAGGTTTGTATACAGCAGTCGAGAGGGAGAAGTGTTAGAGTGGTAGGTGGACTGCCAATTTTAAGAGATTGATAGGTTAAAACCACCTTGCGAATGTGACTTTGGAAACCAAAATCATGGAATAAAAAAATAGCAAACCAGGTACAGGGGCTCATGGCTGTAATCTCAGCACTTTGAGAGGCTGAGACAGGATTGTTTGAGCCTAGGAGTGTGAGATCAGCCTGGGCAGCATAGTGAGACCTTGTCTCTACAATTTTGTTTGTTTGTTTGTTTTGTTTTGTTTTGTTTTGTTTTTTGAGTTGGAGTCTCACTCGGTTGCCCAGACTGGAGTGCAGTGGCCGCTTCAGCCACCGCAGCCTCAACCTGCTGGGCTCCGGCGATCCTTCCGCCTCAGCCTTCCAAGTAGCCAGAATTATAGGCATACGCTACCATGCCCAGCTGATTTTTTGATTTATTGTAGAGATGAGGTCTCTCTGCCCAGGCGGGTCTCGAACCCGCGGGCTCAGGCAATCCACTCACCTCAGCCTCCCAAAGGCGCGGGATTACAGGCTGAGCCACCGAGCCCGGCTTACAATTTTTTTTTTAAATCCAGGTATGGTGGCATGGACCTGTCGTCCCAGCTACTTAGGAGGCTGAGGAGGGAGGATCACCTGAATCCAGGAGGTCGAGGCTGCAATGAACCAAGATTGCACCACTGCACTCCAGGCTGTGTGAGAGTATGACCCTGTCTCAAAAAAATACAAAAAAAAGAACAAGCACATAGACGCCTAAACAGGAAGATGTCTAAAGCAATACCTAGATTTTGAAAAAACTTAAAGCATTTACTTTCCTTCTTGGATACTGATTTCCATTATATAAGTGTGAATTTATTAAGAATATGTTACATTTGAATGCTACATTTCTGCAGTCAGCTGGGTTGAAGTTTATGAAATGTGTCTTCAGAAGGACGGATAGCTGGCCATCACGCACGCATTAACTCACTCATTCATTCTACAAACACCCACAGAAAATCCCCTCTGTGCCAGCTCCCGAGGGCAATGACACTTCACAAGGGGTTTGTAGTCACACCTGTGCAGTGAAACCACCTGGAGAACCTTCAAAAGCGCCACTGCATCCCAGACCAGAGACGCTGGTCCAGCTCGACCAAGCAAAGGTGCTTTCCAAGAGCTCCACAGTTCATTCCGATATGCAGCCTGACCAAGAGCCCCTGGTCTGGATGGAGAAACAGATCCATGCCAAGCAGTGCTGCAAGGTTAGAGGTAGCTGGGTGAAGATTCCCAGAGGAGGCTGCCCTTGATCTGGGATTGAAGACAGAAGCGTGTTTATGACAAGGTGGCAAGCCTGCACACTTGGCATTGCATCTGCTCTTTACAAAACTAAGTGAAACAACATTACAAGCAGTATTTTACCAAGGATGAAACTGAGGCTCTAGCCAGCTATGTAGTGTTCCCAAGCCTGCATACCTATTAATAGGTTTGAATCCGAGGCTGCCTAGGATGGCCACACCATAAGGTCTTCATCTCTTCCATCTTAGAACCCCAGACCATTAAAAGCTCAGATAGAAGAGAAGAGGACTTGGAGGATATTCCAAGCATGAGGAAGAACAAAGTTTAGCAGGGCCTGAGCGCAGAGTATTTGACGGGACAAACACGGAGGGATGCCGGCTGAGGACGAAGAGGGGAGGTCAGATTTTAGAAGGTTCAGCATGTAGTTCCAGCAACTAATTTTACTGGGAGAGGGCCCGTAGCTTTCATTGGTGACCCCTGGGGTCTACGATTAATGCAAAAGATTAAAAGCAATGTTATTGTTCTTTGTCAAGAGGAGAGTAGTGTAGTGATCTTGGCGGTTGGTTCTCACAACAGTGTGGAGAACGCACTGGGGTTTTGGAAGATCACCTGGGGGCTGCTGTGACATACAGGGGAGAGATTCTCACCCACCTCGGAAGTTCTAGAGGTAGAAAGGAGAGGAGCACCGGGCTCGGTGGCTCAGTCTGTAATCCTGCACCTTTGGGAGGCTGAAGTGAGTGGATTGCCTGAGCCCGCAGGTTCGAGACCCGCCTGGGTAGCGAGACCTTATCTCTACAGTAAATCAAAGAATCAGCCGGGCGTGGTAGTGCATGCCTGTAATTCCGGCTACTGGCAAGGCTGAGGCGGAAGGATCGCCGGAGCCCAGCCGGTCGAGGCTGTGGTGGCTGGGAGCGGCCACTGCACTCCAGTCTGGGCGACAGAGTGAGACTCCAACTCAAAAAAAAACAAAAAACAAAAAAGGAGAGGAGGGGCTGAAAGAAAAAGCCTCATTTAGGGTCAGCAAAGAGCTGGTCATGAACATGTGATCGTTTTTCCATGAAATTACAAACGCCAACGAGACAATTGCTTAAATGATGTCAAACTGTAGGTAGGCTACACGTTTTCTCTCGGTGAAATCAAAAGCATTACACAGCTAACTACCCTTGTTAAGCCACTAGGTAACTTCTAGGACAAATGACATGGATTTTGGAACAATGTGACCTAATACTTTAATTCTTGTTCCGTGTAGCAACTGTGTTTTTATTTGATTTTGTTTGTTTCGTTTTGTTAAGAGCGCTGGGTCTGGAGTCCGCTTGCTTGAGTGTGCATGTCAGCTGCCTCACTCACTAGTTGTCTGACCTTGAACGTTAAGGTCAAACACTTTGCTTCACCTCTGTAAGCCTCCATTTCATCATCGGTAATCATAGTAACCACCTCAGACCACTGTTGAGATGTTTAAACACAGTACTATTCCTAAAGCACTTACCACATTGCGTGACATAGTCACAAACACGCCATAAAAGTGAGCGAGTGTCACTGTTTTGTCTAAGTTGTGTCTGCCTGACCTCTGATTTAGGCTAGTATCACTTTGCATATCCACATCAATTAAAAAAAAAAAAAGTACCATACTTTCCTCCAACCATGACAGTGAATGCAGACAACTACATTTGAGAAGCCAGATTTCAGATGCACATTGAAATTTTAAGTTATATTGTGAATCGCTCATAGAATTGCTGAGGAATTTGGGCTCAATCCACTCAAGACAAGACCATGAAAACAAAGTTTTCCAATCATGTGTGAAAATGTTGATGGTGGTCTTTTAAGGAAAGGTTAAATGTTAAATAAATTAGTGTATGCATAACAGTAAAACAAAGGAAAGAGAGAAAAGGTAAAACATTGTGGAGGATTTTATAATACCGATTTAGAAAGCATTGTTTTGCTTTTTCTTATTCATGCATTTATTTGCTTTTATCATTATCTTTAATTGACACATAATTGTCCCTACTTTGGAGACAGCGTAACATTTTGATACGTGTACACAATGCGTAGTGATCACATCGGGTATCCTTCACCTCAAACATTTACCATTCTTTGTGCTGAGACATTTGAAATCCGCTCTTTTAGCTATTTGGAAACATACAATAAATTGTTGTTAATTACAGTCACCCTACAGTGCTACAGAACACGGAAACTTATTCCTCCTATACAGCTATGTTAAAAAGCATTCGCTAGCCGGGCTCGGTGGCTCGGCCTGTAATCCCGCGCCTTTGGGAGGCTGAGGTGAGTGGATTCCCTGAGTCTGCAGGTTCGAGACCCGCCTGGGCAACTTGGCGAGACCTCATCTCCACAATAAATCAAAAATGAGCCGGGCGTGGTAGCGCACGCCTGTAGTTCCAGCGACTTGGAAGGCTGAGGCGGAAGGATCGCCGGAGCCCAGCAGGTCGAGGCTGCGGTGGCCGGGAGCGGCCACTGCCCTCCAGTCTGGGCGACAGAGTGAGACTCCAGCTCAAAACAAACAAACAAAAAAACTCCAAAAAAGCATTCACTAAGCAGCCATTATGTGCTAGGCATTTCAGTAGCAAAAGACGGGCCTTTCCTGACCGAAACCAGAGGACGAGATAAAACGAAATACGGCCACGCTCCAAGGAAAGACTGACGTGCTCCATCAAGGCTGGCATCGCCCACGACGCCCAGCACCTGACCACCCACTGCACTGCCTGCGCCTAACGCAGACATTTGACCAGGAGTCACAACACCACCTTTGCTGTTCTGCACTCTTTCCCCACCACCGGCTGGCCCCAGCCCGCATCTCCTCAGCGTCCTCTTCTCTCTCTGCTCGTGGAACCATTCCTCACAAAATCTGAATCAGCAGTGGCAGCACCTGCAGCCAGTCTGATTTCATCCCGTGGCAAGCGGCCTCATGGTGCTGTCTTCAGGAAAACCAGGCACTGAACCTGCCTGGGTCACAAACGCACGCCCACCCTTAGCCAGGTCCACTCTCCCTGAGATAATCTTGGAAGACAAGAGGGACAGTGCAAGGGAAAGACTCACGATGCTGAGTGAGAAGTGCGGTTAAT